ATTCAGATATCAGTATTCATATAATAGAATCAGAAAGTCTACTACCGATGGAGAACCCATTGCGTAGCAGTCATATATCAGTATTCATATAACAGAATCAGAAAGTCTACTACTAATGGAGAACTCATTGAGTAGCAGTCAAATATCAATATTCATATAACAGAATCAGAAATTCTACTACCAATGGAGGACTCATTGCATAACAATAAGATATCAGTATTCATATAACAGATTAGAAAGTCTACTACCAATGGAGGACCCATTGCATAGCAGTTAGATATCAATATTCATATAACAGAATCAGAAAGTCTACTACCAATGGAGGACCCATTGCGTAACATTCAGATATCAGTATTCATATAACAAATCATAAAGTCTACTACCAATGGAGGATCCATTGCGTAGCAGTCAGATATCAGTATTCATACTTTACTATTTTCAAGAGGTCAGGAACATTCAACATTCACAGCATCATAAGCATGCCATTTCGGTGTCTTATCACCTTGCAAAGGATTTAAGCTATGTTCAAAAGAAACATTGATGCATGACATGTGCATAACTCATATACAACTTAAATTATTGTTCTTATCAATCATGGGCATATACAGAATGAGGCATGACACCCAAATTATGAGGGGAATTTAACTAATTTTTTATTCCAATTTGCTAATAGAGCATTACTTAATTAATTGAGGGTTCAACATATCGTTCTGAATCTTGCTAATTTTTTTCCCATGGGGACATATGTTCACAATTCAAATCATAGCTTGCAACCTAGCAGAAAATTTAAAACAATTTAATCATGCAACTTTTAGTAGACATTCAGAGATTTCAAATGGTTGTGGTTTTGGGGTAATTGGACTTCATTTGTTCAACTAAATTCATGGCAACAAAGACCAAAATTTTGAGTTTCTGTGAGATCTATCAATAGTGACATACTGGAGCATTTCTTAGTATAGCTCATCATTTACACAGAATTTGGGAAAGGTTAAAACATGAAAATCGTATAAGACTCATGCATCTATCAAATGACTATGTTTTTTGGATCATTTGGACGTCAATACTTCAAGCAAAGTTCTAATACAGTAGAAGCAATATTTCTGAAAATTATCATAGTCTGCTAACAGCGGCATAAGAGTACAAAATGAAACACATCTTCCAAACTATCAAGAATCTCAACTGGACATAAACATTCTATGGACTCATAGACCTTTCAAATGGTGGTGATTTGAGGCAAATTGGATATCATTTGCTTAGTCAAAATCTTATTTCAAAAGCATGTAAGTTCCCTGGAAAATCACAGTACACTCATGACACATTCAGAAGACCACTCCATAACTTCAAACCCATATGATATAACAACATGAAACCCTTTTCTATCTTAGGCTAGACTCACACAAGCCACATTCCATAAAATTTCAGGATCCACAAGAGAGATAACAGTGCCCAATTTATCATGCAAAGAAGACCTCATTGCTGGAAAACAGAACACAACATACATGTCATACTTTGTTCATGAAAATTCATGTTTAAATCTCATACTTTCAATTTCATGCTCTTACAACTTTATGCATGGGGGTAGAAATCCACTTATACAGCCAATAATGGTGCCCTCCAATCTTTCTTCTACAGTCCTTCATCTCCAACAATGGCTGCTCCAAAGTGAGGGTGTGAACTTCCACACAACTTGTCTTAGAGAGAGAAAGAGATTTGGAGGAGTGAAAAGTGAAGAACGTGAGGGAGAGGAAAGGGCTTAAGCATCCCCTCAAGTGGCAGATGACAACCCAAGCTGATGGGTGACAACCAACTCCCATGCAGCTGGACAAGTGGCGAACACTTAATCACATATGGCAATGCCGCAGCCGGTGTTGCGCAGTCGGAGCTATGCACACGGCGATGCCCCTTGTTCACTGGCGGTGTTGCGTTCTTGCTGCCGCGCTCTCTTCTGCCGCCGCGCGCTTACTATCGCCGCGTGCTCACCAACGCCGTGCGCTCACCATCGCCGCACGCTCACTATCGCCACGCGCTCACTATCGACGTGTGCTCACCATCGCCGCGTTCTCGCCATCGCTGCACGCTCACCATCACCGCGTGCTCACCATCGTCGGGTGTTTACTATTGCCGCGCGCTCACCATCGCCGCGTGCTTACTAACGCCGCGCACTTACTTGTGTCCTTATATCCCTCCCATTTATAATTTGAACTAAATTGTAAGTGAGAAACTAATCGGCAAAGAATGATGACCATCAAACCATTCAAGGTGGCCAAGGGAGATGAACCCCCCAAGAACCGAAAGCTAAAGAAAAACATATGAAAAATGGGGACAACAATTCTCATTGGATCCATGAGGAGGGAATACCATAATTAGAGAGGTTTCGATACAAATATGTCGAAATGAGTGAAGTTTTGGCAAAATTTGTACGTTAGCTAGCTACCTAACACAACCTAGGCGCCTTTACCTGGGCATGGGACGTGTTAAGGGAAAGTTTAAGTTCATCACCTGTCTTAGACTCATACAGAGTAAATAGTGTATAAAACAAGGGCTAGTTTCTAAACTCCTATATAACTTTAAACCATGGATGGAGTTCTTAGATAAACCTTACACATAGTGAGAGAGAAAAAGAGAGAGAGAGAGATAGCATATTTGCATTGAACCTGTATAATAGCTCTAAGGAGAGAGACTGCATAAGGAGAAGGAACAACAGAACAGAAAAAACTAACCTACAAATTAGTATTTTTTCCCATCATCAAAGATTTATCTCCAACCTGCATTGATATAAGCTTTTTAGCTTCGTGTTCAAGATTTGATTTAGTGCTACTAAATAACAACTTGAACCATATTGAATTAAGGAAAAACAAAATATTATATTGGGAAAACTTATTATATATCCTCACCTACATATATTTTTTCTACATCACCTTGCTCCGAGTCGTTCGATTTGAATGGATGCTTGAGATGCTTTCAGCCTTAATGTCCTTTGATCTAGATCTCATGACTTGGAGTATTTTATGTTCAAATGTTTTATACAAATCATATGAACATGAAATTTGGTGCGTGTCATCAATCTCAATGGGGTGCACCTAAAAAATATGAAAAATATTTCTAAAACGTAAGGTGACCAAAATACTCATGAAACTTTCAGGGGTATTTTGGTCATTTTATTTTATCAGGGATATTTTAATTTTATATTTTTTTATCGGTGCAAGCTTAATAGAAGATTTGGACACCCAAATTTGGTGTCAATATCAATTATAAAAAAATTAAAAATAAAATAGTGTTTAGGGGTGACATTGCGATTGCGGCCATCTATGCTATACATTTAGATTGAACATCTCAGACACAAGAGATGCAGGTAAAAGACATATGAGTGGGGACGTATAGTTAGTTTTCCTATATTAATAAGCTTGTCAAACATACTCATTATCGAGTTTTAAAGCTAGTATTTTGTAAATCAAGATTGATTTGTTTTTTGTTTTGGATTGGGATATTGGTTTGTGTAATGTCCCTAAATATTAATGGCTTATGCATGGACTAAAATACATATAAGAGATATGATAGAAAGAGTATACACATTTGACCAGATTATGCCTTGGGAAATTGATCAAAATTAATTATTTAATATTCTATCTATTTGTAGGTAATAAGATAAATTTTCCTCATGCCTATGATGCAAGGAAGTCGCTTGAACATTGGATATACAACTGGGGAGTCTCATTGATTTAGGCTCAAAATAACACGTGATTATTGTAGGAAAAATTGAATCGAAATGGTTAACCGGATATGGGTAGGAAGTGGTTTCTTGGTACCAACCGATAAACCAACCGATTCAACTGGCTTAACCGAGCAAGTCCAGGGCGGTAAAAAAAGTATTAAAAAAATACAAAAAATCTAACAAACTATGAAAAATATAGTTAAAGCATGATTAAACAAAGCAAATCCAAATAAAATTGAAAATGAATTAATTTTTAAAAAGGCTGTGGTTTCTATAAGGCTACAACCTCACACCTCCAAATTTTATCATAACATGTAATTTTGGTGTAAAATTTCTAAGGATCGTCTGAAAATATATTTTTAGATATAATTATAAAGTTTTAAGCTCCAAAAATGGTTAAAATCAAGTAGATATATAAACATATGAAAATTTAGAAAATGGATGGTCTAGATAATGTGTTTCAAGATATACTATTTATCGGAGTTAATTTTTTTTTTTTCATATTCATACATCTTGATGAGAAGATGATCAATTATAGGGTTTTTCAACATTAAAACAACATTTTTCGATCGATTTTTTAGGTACATCTATATTTCTACACTTTAAGATTGCAACATTATATAAACTTTTTCTTTTACAAAATCGATTTGTGCTCAAAGGTATTTTTGAAATTAGTCAAAAACATGTAAAAATGTAAAAATAAGTATTAATGCCCAAAACAATTTCTAGCTTTTGCCAAACTGATGAAAAATATTAAAAAGACACATTACAAACTAAATACATTATTTTTGAGATTTTATATCAATTCTTTTGATTTTTTTTTTTAAATACCCAACCAAGTTACCAAAACCGGCATAAATCGAAACTGACTAGTTTCGATCTAACCAAACAGTTCCAATTTGAACTGCCTAATTTTTCCTACAATACAAGTGATATAGTTGAGATAGCAATAGGAGCAATAATGTGCATGAGGAGGTTTAAAAGGAATCTTCAAACAAATATGGATAGAAGTAGTGAGAAAATACGAGCAAGAATATGCATGAGGAGGTTTAAAAAGAAAGATTCAAACAAATATGGATAGAGGTAGTGAGAAAAAATAAACTCAAAGATAATCATGATAAAAGCGTATCCTTTGAGCATTCATATACTAGACCCCAAATAATTTGGATTCAACAATGAGGACGATTGCTCCAGTCCGTCAGATTTGAAAATTGACGGGTAGGGCTACTCAGTAGCTAGGCATTACCATGATACCTTCCATATTATTCGCACATGGTGGAGACATATATGGGGGACAGAGGGAAAGCCTGGTATGATTTTTGTTGACAAATGTTTGGGCAATTGAGACGAGCATGTCGGTCTTCATGGGCGACCTTCCCTTCTTCTTTTCACCCAAGGAGGGAACTGTGCTTCTATGCCACCCAAATTCTCGAAGATGGCGTCGACAAGGCCGCAAAGAGCTTTACCCGAAACGCAAAGACCATGGACTTGCTCCTGGCCCAGTTGCGCCAACATATCGACAAGGTACTCCCTCTCTCTCTATCTCTCTACTGCCACTTGTCTATGTAAGGGCAGGATTTGAAGTGGATTTTTGGCCTGACAAAAACAGGTGATTGAGGGTGGAGGCCCTGATGCTGTTAAGAGAAACAGGGATCGCAATAAACTCCTGCCTAGAGCGAGAATCGATTGTCTTCTTGATCCTGGTTCTTCCTTTCTCGAGCTCTCTCAGGTACATGCTTCTGGAACTATTTTTTCTCTTGTTTCTTGTTTCCTATGGCGGATAATTTAAATTCTTCATTGAAATTTTTTCTTGTTTTCATGTGTTGCGGAACCTAAGAGAAAACAGAAGAAGAAGCTTCTATTGGGCTTTAGGTACAGTTTCTCTGGTTAAAGAGATAACACACTCTCTCTCCCCCTGCATGTTTGGGTGGTTCCCCTTAATGCTTATGGCCTTGATTTGTATTTATTAATTTTGGGATGTTCCTCACTGCTTAAGGATGCAGTATGAGGTGGCCTATCCTATGATTACATTTTTGGTTGCCTCTCCTACTCAATAGTGCTCTTTCCTCAATTCTCTCTCCTGTAGTTTTCTCTCGTTCTGTTTATGCCTTACATATACAGGTAACTAGGCTTCTACTTGGAGCTCAATAATGTTTCTTTAATGTGGTAAAACTTATCAATTTGAGCTAACATAGAAATAATGTTTCTTTTTCCAGAGTGTCTGAAGTTCAATTTTTTTTTTCTCTTTTTTCTTTTGTAAACATATGTACCTGATGAGACACATTCCTTTGGTAGTGCAATATAGTTCTACGTCTCATTCTCATGAGGATTTGCAGTTGAAGCATTTTGCTGTTAATTTTGTTACAATAGAATAAGATAGTGGCTGTTTCATTCATTTGGTATGTGTTCTGTGTTACCAGCTTTGTGGTCATCCTAGGTGGGTTTGAGGGTTGTAATAGTACCTGATTTTAATTAATTTTGCATGACTTTCAGCTTGCACTTCTTTATTACAAGCCCCATGTAGGATGGTCTTTGCTACCATAAGACATTTTCGATGAGGAATTTTACCGACCAGTACACCACTACTACTTTTATATTGACTTTGTTTTATTTTGTTTTGGATGGGGGTATCAGAGGTGGAAAAAGTCTCCTACCCATTTTCATTAATCAAGGGAAGAATGCGACATTAATTACAATTAGAAACCCTTTGAAAGGGAGTATTTGTTTTTTTATAATTTAGAGGTAAAAAAACCAAATCAGGTGGCCTACCTCGCCATACTATATCTTCTAATGCCTGGCCAAATTCTGGGTAGTGTATAAGCAACCTGATTAACTTCTTGATTGACATGTTCAATTAAACAAAAACCATAAGGCCTACTGCCTAGCGTCTGCTCTGCTCTGCCCTGCCTGGGGGTAGGCAGGTACTTTTGGGTGCGCTGCCTCTATGCGCCTTTGCCCAAGTTTTGCCCTTGCCCTTCAACAGAAAATGCCTTGGGGCAGGGCCATTTCATCAATTTCTCCTCCATTAAGGGAGAAAAAAGGACTTTTGTTTTTGTTTTGGAAAAAAAAAAAACCGGAAAAGACCTTTTCAGAGGGCATTGAAGCCCCAAAGAAGAATTTTCATTTTTTTTTTTTTTAGATTGAAATTTTTTCCAAGTTTCAGAAATCATCTTGAACTTTGTCTTTTTTTTTTTTTAGGCATTTTGGTCCAAAAGGAAAAGATATAAGGGGTATTTTAAGGTGATTTCGAGCTTCATTTTAATGCAAAAACTTTGAAGATCGGGACAAAAGGTTGGTTTTTGTCTTTGTATTTGAGATTTCCTCACGTTTTTCCAAATATCTTCAACGGATTCTAATTTGAGTAGAGATCTGGGATGGAATATGGTCTTTATTCAGAGAAAAATGTTAAGTATAAAATCTAGTCCAATTTTTGTGGTAAAGATACAAATGTAGCCAATAGATTTAAAAAACACCTCTCGAGTATTAGGGGGATGTTGCCCCATGTAAGGAGGTTTTATGAGAAGTTATGTGGATGCCAAAAATAGGAAGAAGGGAGCAAAGGAGGAGAGTATGGCAGAGTTGAGGGCAGGGTTAAACATTTACAGTGATGATGGGGATGCTGATGATGAAACAGAAATGGAAGTGGGTTCCTCTCAAAATTCTATGAGAGGATTGCTGATGAAGCAGCCTTGTTTTATAAGGCCAATGTAAGCCTTTCCTCTAATCCCGAGCTTGCAGTAGAGAAAGGCAAAAAGTAAGTTACATTAGAAAATGGGTTCAAGAAGGAAGATTGTGGCCTAGCAGATAACTATATTGTTCGGTTTTTTATCAAATTGGCATTTCGTTTAATGCGGTCAGCGGTTCACTTATCCACCTTCTATATAATGTAGGAAGCAATTGGCCACTTTGGGCCAGGATTTAAGGTCCCAACCGCTTATTTGCTTAAGGAGCCATTGCCTTAGGAGGTACAACTCACAAATAAGTACCTCAAGTACCTCAAGATCCATGCATGGATCTTATTTGGGGTCACAATTATGATAGATACGTGGAGTGATAAGAGTAGGAGTGTGATGAGCGTAATGTTGCATTGCCCTTTAGGGATAATATTTCCGAGGTTTTTGGATGCATGTAAAGATCTACATGATGCACAATTCATTTTTATTGACAAGGGCATGGAGGAGGTTGCCGAAGAGAATGTTATAGAAGTGGTAACTGTTAATGTTGCAGCAAATACGGTTGCTGCTAATTTGTTGCACTAAAAGTGGCCTCATATCTTTTGGACTCTGTGTGTGGTACACTGAATAGACCTCATGCTTAAGGCTATTGGTGAAATGCCTAGGATATCTGGTCCTCTTACTAGGCTAATGCCGTGAACGATGTTCATTTACAGCCACACTCTTACCCTAAGCATGATGCGCAAGTTGAATGAGAAGATAGATATAGGGAGGCCTGGTGTAACAAGATTTGCCACTTCTTTCCTAAGTTCACAGATTATATTGGAGAAGGAAAACCAATCGAGATCGATGTTCACTTTAGAAGAATGGTCTAGAGGCAAGTGGTCTAGGCATGCTAAAGGGAAGAGGGCATGAGATATAGTCTTGTCTAAGAGTTTTTCGTGTGGGGTAGTATACTCAGTTAAAAGTATTCTGCCCTTATTGAAGCCTGTTATGTTCTTCTCATATGATGCACTAGATGGACCCAAGAGGGAGATAGTAGGGGCTTTGAGCAATGATGAGGGTATGTGTTCATCAATATGGTATATTATAAATAAAAAATGGGAGACGCTGCTTCATTGATCAGTACATGCAGCTGAGTATTATTTGAACCCAAAGTTCTGTGCAAACTTGGATATTGAGAGGAATGATGCAATTATGAACGGCTTTAATGAATGTCTTGAAAGGGAAGTTTCATACAGTGATTTCCAGGATAAGATATCTGTGATTTTGTATAAGTGTACATTGAAATCATTTGGGAAGGACAAGGTGGTGAGACAACGAACTCAATTAGATCCAGGTAATCTATTTAACTAGAACAATTTCTTCAAGATTCATTTATTTTACATGGTTTCATATGAATGTAGGTATTAAATTTGATCATGGTATAGAATTTGTATGCTTTGAATTTGCACTTTGTAACCCAATTATGGAGCTAGCATGGGACTAGTTTTCCAAAGTTAGAAAGGATGGGCATAAGCATAGTAAGCTTAACATGTAGCTCATTTGGTTGTGATGAAATTGGAGTTCCTTCGAGATGGTAAGAATTTACAACCATTATAGATTTAGTGATCATACTACTAGTGTAGTACTTTAGTTTTGTAAGTTTGAATTATGGTTCATACTTTTTCCTTGAGGTGCACACAAAGAGAAGGAACAAGCTTGAGCAAAAGAGGCTTAATGATTTAGTTTGTGTCGAGTACAATCAGAGGCTACATGAGCATTTTGAGGATTGTTAAAAGAAATGGGTGCGGTTTGTATAGAGCCTAGGCTCTAAACAATCAAATTAGAGCCTACCTTCAAATAGTGTCGATAAATATGCTTTCAACACTGGAAATTTTTGTGGTAGCCTTAAAATATGTTTTCATCTTTATTTATAAAGTTTAATGCTTAAAAAATAGTGTAGATCGATAGATCTATGAAAACTTGAAAATCTTGAAAATTGACGGTCCAAAATGCATTACAAAATACATCATTTCCAAAACTTGAAATCTATGATTTTCTCATGTCCATGCATCTTGATGTCGAGATGATCAAATTGAGGATATTTGAGCATCAAAACAATTTCTTCTAGTGAAATTTTTGAGGTAGGCTCTAATTTGATTGTTTAGAGCCTCGGTTCTATATAAACTTTTCCCAAAAGAAATATCCCCTTGCATCCAAAGACTTGGATGGTGCCAGTGAGTGGTTGGTTGAAGATCCTGGGATTGAAGGGGTCTACCTTGGTGAGAGATTTGACATGGGAAATGGTTGAGGAGGCTTCAGGGCCAGTTTCCAACTCATAGTTGTGGGAACCTTGAGGGCAGGGCTACAGTCCCACCTTGGGAACTCGATCCCATGGTTCCTCTAAGGGATCTTAGAGGGAGTTGGGTTTAGAGAAATAGGGATCTCGCTCCCATAAAATGGATCTCGATCTACATGCATGTGTGATCTCTTCAAGGAGAGGAGCTATACTATTAATTGAACTACTGATCCTCCCCTTGGTATTATAGACTTATTTCTTTAGAATATGTTAAATTGTGGTGCATATCACATCGTTGTGTTATAGAACTATGGTATTGAAAAACTACAGTTTAATATATGGCATTGGTAATAAGCTAAGGTGTATGATAATGGATTGAGTATGCATTGGTTGGATCCTAATTTTATCATATACTATTAATTTATCTTGTGTTGTGTAATGGAGCTTAGACCCCTCCAAGTCAAAACCACATAGTTATCGAAATCTCTCACCCAAGGTTGCGATTCCGATTCTAAATTCCAATTCTACGATTTATTGAATCTCAATTCTACATTTGTTGAATCTGGATTCCACATATAATGATACTCCTCCATCAAATTTGAAACACAAACATAGTGCCATAAACTACAAAATAAAAATTTCGGAACCTATGAGAAGCATCAAATTAGAAGCTCGGATTCCAAAAATATTGGAATCTTGATTCCATATATGAAAGAATCTTGGTCCATATCGGTCGATTCCAAATAAGTTAGAAACCCATCTCCCAAAGGACAG